ACCAATGCCCACCCATAACGAACATGACCCTCCTCCTATGGCGCTTTCTCACGTAATTGCCATTTTCTAGCGGTCAGACAAACATACAAACAACACAACTTCTGGTTTATATATGATGAAATTTAGCCATTTTTCATTAGTATTTGAGCTCACAAATTACCATTTTTAACGAGAGATGTGCCTCTTATTTGGTTGAATCAGTGGAACAATAGTTCACGATTTCTATTACTAGTATGATGAGGAAAAGTAATAACGGCACAGGGAAGAGTTCAGTGGCTGGAGTACCACAGGACTGCGCCTTGGAAAGGAAAAAACCAACCTTTCTCAGAAGTGAATTTCCCCACCATCACGTCGTAGAGATACGGTTCGCGTTCTCTCATCTTCTCATCGGAGAAATATGTTCCCTTTTCCTTCAGCTTTTGTAGCATCAAATATCGCCGCTTCTTCATCTGCAAAAAAATAATTTCAACCAGTTTACAACCAAAAAAAGAGCCACAGCGGTTCCAAGGGAACCAACGCAAAACCAAGAACATCACTCGCATTCTGAGCGTCAGATTTCCGTTTTTCGATTTGTCCAACCATCCACTGTATGAGTGGATCACCTTCGTCTCGAAATAAGACACAGTCACTTGCGTCCATGTATTGGCCATACCTGCAATCTGAAAATAGCGACCGTCTGATATTTACTGAAAAAATTACAAGCAAAAAAAAGAGGAAGCCAGTGAGAAAACCAAGTCACCTCTGCAAAAAAAACAATGCTTTGTTGGTGGTCATCAAATCTTCAAGAATTCCACGCTTATCACCCTCTGTGAGATCAGGTTCATCGTTTTGTTGATGGCGGTAAAAAACGTCAGCTTTTGCAAGAATCCTCCCGAATAGCGAATCCGCCATTGTACGTCGATGAAGCTTTCTTATCCAACCGATTTCATCTCTGAAAACGTTCTGCTCTGAAGGTTTTGTTTGCCAATTAAAGCTGTTAAGCTTAACATACCTCAAATTACAAAATAATAAAAAGATTAAGTCGATGACGGGTACGTTTCACGCGCTGGCGGGCGGAACTACGGGAATCGAACCAGGGGCGCGATGAGGAAAAGTAGGGCGGGGCTTTCTAGTCGAAACGCAAGAGGCGCAGCAGACCAGTTTTTAAACTGAGCCCGCCAAGTTGTCGTCCAATCGTTCATGCGTGAAAACTTGATGGGGGGGGGATGTGAGAAATTCGTCTTGTCGTTAATACTCTAAAAGCCCCGCTCTCTTCGCTAGTTTGGTAAATGTAAAGACAATCTGAGTATCGCAATAGTATTGAAGACAGTCCCCGCGATCAATTGTTATGGGTAGTGGATGTTCATTTACAAACGAGCGGCCGATAAAAGACTCCCCTGTGAAGGAAAAAAAATAGCAGAAAACACTCACCCTCCTCAGCCAGTTCACACAGATCTCCATAGTACAAGTTCCTCATACTTGGTGGCAGATCCACACCCTGGCTGCCTGTGCAACCCCAGGGTCACGGATCGTTTTTCCCATCATCCCATGTGTTAGGATTACGGCAAATATTACATGTCAAATTTTTGCCAGATGCAGTTTAATCGTTGGTGATTCAGTCCCCAAAGACGCATTTCGCCTAGTGAAAAGTACGGGTTATCGATTGCTCGTTCTCAAAAAACAGAAGAGTGGAAGGCTTCGCTCCTCTACGTTGGAGTAGTCGTCATACTTGCGCGCTGGTGCTGGGTGCCACGCGTCTGTCAGAGTTTTGAGCATAGAAAATAACACTATCAATCAATCTGTCGTTTCGGGTGTCCACCAGCGTCGTGTTTTCAGCATTGGAGCATTCTGCTTCAGCGGTTTGTGAGTGACTAGGAAAAGTAAGAAATATTGAATCGGCTGAGGAGGAACGCTGGAGAGCGCTCAAAGAGATACCTATACTTCTTTGCCCGCTCAAATAGCCAGAAACCCTCAAAACGCTGGCGCAAAATATGAACGCACTCTTAGCACGCATTAGTGGGGTGGGATATTTTCTCTAAAGGCACATTCCGCGATAAAATAACGCTATGACCTCTCAAATGTGTCAGACGATCCGGAAGGCGATTTTTGAGGCTGCGCTACTTTCAAAATGTGAAAACGGCAAGAACTCCGCTAGAAGCTGACTAATTAGGCCCATGGACGGATGCGTAAGCGTATTTGGGGGGGGGGGACACGCGGCAAGCGGCGAGTGATGACTCATCACTCTTCTGCTTCGCTCCTCGGGCAATATTGATAGAGAAGGTTAAAAATTTTCGTGTTTAGGACATGAATATAACTTCGCCCTAGCTATATTCAAAAGCTAAAACAGTTAAGGCTGAAAAGTGCGAAGAAACAGTTGTAGGCTGGAAGATTTTGCCTAAAATACAAACGATTGTTGCCTTTTTGTTGATTCTTGACTATAAAAGATCAAATATTTGTTGTTTTCAGCTTCTGTGGGATTTCCCAGCAAGTTCCCGGTAAATCTTGTTTGTTTCATTCTAATTTGGCTGCTAGATTCGCGCTTCAAGTATGCCTATGAGTGAAGAGCTGATGAGTCATCACTCGCCGCTGCCGCGTGGTCCCCCCCCCCCCAAATACGTTTAGGCACCCCCGTGGGAACACCCCTCTAGCGCCCCAGCCGCCCTCACCGGTTTGCTTAACTTAGCTAGTAGTCACTTAGTTTATCTTTCTCTATAACATATTTACTGCTTTTTCTGCTGCTTTTCTCCGCTAATCAGATACTTAGCACTTTTTTTTGTGCCTATTTGAGTTCCGTTTCCGCAATTTGGCGTTGCCGTTAATACAGGAATCGAAATAAAAATACTGCCACGCTCACCTCCTCCCACCAGGATTAAGAGTGCAAAAGCGTACCTTATATTGCCCACACTCCTTATCCCTGACCCAGAGGAGGCGTGGCACTTTAACATGGCACGGAATTGGTTGGCACTATTGACTATTCCTATCCCAAAAAACTCAAAAAAAGTTTTTCGCTGAAACGTTGCCTATAGATGTAATTCGATGCGCTGATCATGGATATAACATCCGTTTTGAGCGCTGGCGTCATTTGGCGCCATTATGCGCCAATTTGGCGCCCACCACTTTTTTCACCAAAGTCGATGAAAACTTGCATATGGGGTTAATTGAGGTCCTGATTACGAATCCAACATTTATTTTTGGCGCTGGCGCCATTTGGCGCCATTATAGCGCCGAATTAGTAATGGCGCCAAATGGCGCCAGCGCCAAAAATAAATGTTGGATTCGTAATCAGGACCTCAATTAACCCCCATATGCAAGTTTTCATCGACTTTGGTGAAAAAAGTGGTGGGCGCCAAATTGGCGCATAATGGCGCCAAATGACGCCAGCGCTCAAAACGGATGTTATATTCGTGATCAGCGCATCGAATTACATCTATAGGCAACGTCTCAGCGAGGTCCCAGGGATTTCGAGTATACCTTGTCTCCGGAAAGTGAAGTGTACATCACTTATTTTGAGTTGCGAAAGCTGTACATCCTCCATGCATGCGGGCAGGACCACCCTTCCAAAGAAGGCGTCTGAACATCGAATGAACGCGTAACTTTAACGACAGGAAAATCCCTAGGGAAAGGTAATCTGGTGACGGCAGGACATTCCAAGACTAATGCCTTCAGGAAATGCGCCGGAAAAGGATAATGGCCACGAGTAGTGGAGAAGGCGTTGAACTTTACTAAACGGGAACGTACCCTCGTCAAGGTACACCACGGTGGTCGCGGCATTTTAAATTGTCTTCTAAATGACTCTCCTCCTTGGTTGGAGATCCCAAGCGACGTTGCGCTATGATGACACTACATATAGCGCTGTTACTGTTGCAGCATCTGCAGCTACTTGCTGCTTTGACGAGACTGAAGGTACGGGGACGATGGTGAGATGGAAAGTATCCTGTGCCATGTTTGATGCCGCGCCTACTCCATCTCGCGGGTATAGAGTGTAACTTAGTGTACGGTAACTTACTGTTGGTGGCGAGGGGTGTGCTACTTCACAGGTCGAAACCCATGCGGTTTTGCTTCAAAGTTAAGATGCTGCGATCACGGCCTTCCTTTCCCTCTCCCCCCCCCTCCCCCAAAAAAAAAATTCCTCTTGTGATATGAGCCATTCCTTCCATCATTTCCCATGCTACCTACCATGTTCCTAAATTTTCATAGCCTCTCACCACTTTTCCGAATTTCTGTACAAAAATTCTCCAGTTGTCGCTGGGAAACATGTCGTCGAGGAACACGTGAAAATCAAAAATTGTGGTAGACCAACATTAAATATGACCCATCCTCCACCTACCAAATCCCAGCCCCTTCTCCGGTAATTATGACGCACTCTGGCTGTGATTATTTTTCAGCTGGACGTCACCATCCTCGGTCTAAGAGCAGACGAGAGTTCTTCAGCGTTGAAGGACGAGAAAGATGAAATGACGACTTCTAGCAGGTGCAGCAAGCAGAGCTACCAATCGCTTCGATTCTGAAAGGGAAGAAAAAGCTTTCAGGCTGTGATAAACCCATGGATGAATGAAAAGTTCAAAGTGTGTCAACGGCCCACGTGACATAGCACTAGTGAAAAGAGTAACCGATCCATCATCGTGTATCAACATCACTAGCCACTCGCCTTCTCACAACTCCAAAACGTCTCAGTGGTGTCGTGACGGTCCAAATGACCACAGATCTGCACGAGGGCGGGTGAGATCAAGCAGGACGCCTGATTACTGAAAAGATCTCACTGATGATCCCGTATGCGCCCCTTACTCTCCTCCAGATCTCTCCAGGTGGGAGTTTCCATTTGGCTGGCCCACTGCCACCTATGCTCAGGGTTTCAATCCTTTTATCAGCGCAGTTCCCGCTATGACTCTGGAACGTCGTTCCCCGGATGTCTCGAATTGCGAGAATTCTGCATGCCTTCGCGTGTCTCTATATTTATATCAATGGCATTCCATTTGGCAGCTAGCCAGAAGGGCGGATCGATAGCTTCTGAAGTCCGCCTGAATCCTTGCTTGTTTGAGACTCGAAGGCCCAAGGTTGGAATGTCACCTTTTGTTAGTTGGAACAAACCACCTCACTTTCCAATCTTACGTTCTGCTCTTCTATTGGATGTGTAGGAGCTCCTCGACAAAAAACCCTTTAGAATTTTTCACCATTCTCTTCCAGATACATGGAACGATTACAACGTACCAAAAAAATCAGGACACTGTTTGGCTTGGAGGGAACATGTTGCACTTTTGCTAGGTTCTTTTGTAGGTTCATGCATTCAGGTCACACCTGTAAACTATTGTGAAGCTGCGAATTTGTTA